GACTTACTTGCATCCACTAAGTAAGAATTTTCCAGGCCCCCTCACTCACTCCTTTTGTCATCTTTGAACTGTTACTAGAGCAAAACTTAATTGGTAAATTTGAATAAGATGACATATATAGAGAAATGCAGAATAAAAATAGGAAATCAAAATGAAGGACTGTCGAAAAGCCAAGTACATAGGGGAAAAAATGAAGTCAAATAATTGGAAAGAATATCTGGAAAATACACAGCGTGCCAGAAGACTTATAAAAACAGAACCCTTTTGAGAGGATGTTCATTTGAAGCCAAAAGGTTGTTTTTTTTTGTTTTTTTTTGTTTTTGGTAAGTTTAATACACACACACACACACACACACACACACACATACATTGTTAGAAACTTTTGATTTAAACTGAATATCCAATATTAATATATAGGATAAAATACTTTCCATGTATATGAGGAAAGGCACAGAAAGCTTATAAAAATCAAGCATTTCATATTTATTTTTAGGTTGACTAATTAACTAAAAAAGATTTATCTTCCTGTTTAAGCTGATGTATAGTTAAAGTATCCAAGTACAAAGAATTTGTCCCTAAAGCTAAATTTAGAATGTAAGAGGCAAAACCTGAGTTTTTTTCCAGCTACTTTTTTAAAAACGACAAACTTCTGAAAGCATTATCTTTTCTTCCATAAATCATTGAGAATCTACCATAGGTGAGGCACTGTAATATAATCGGTACTATGGATGATACAGAGACAGATAAAATGAAGTTTCCACACGAATTTTGACAGGCTGATATATCCAAAGAAGTTTGAATAAAATGCTTCCTGAAATTTGGTTATAGACTATGCCTAGTAGTTGGGTTTTAATTATGCAGAATCATCAAATGAGCCCAGGGGACTGCACCGGCTCAGAATGCAGTCAGGGCCAAACTCTCAGGGCTGACCAAGGAGTCACAGACTATTTGATCTTGTATCCCATGGCATCAGGCTGTTCGGTTTGGTCATCCTGGGCAGCATTATTAGCGATTGCTCTTTCATTAGCCCCCTCCTCTAAGTTTTAAGAATATGCTACTGGTAAATGTTAAGCATATTTTACTACTTACCAAATCTCTGCGAAGTAGGCACTGTTCTTATTTTACATGTTATGTTATAGGCAGTTACACTGAAGTTTAGAAGTATAAAGAAACTTGCCCCCTCATGAAGCTTGTGGGTGCTCCAGTCAAGATTCAAACCCAAGGTCAGGTGTGGGTAGCTCCTCCCTGTAATCCCAGCACTTTGGGAATCCAAGGCAAGAGGATTGTTAGAGCCCAGGCATTTGAGACCAGCCTGGAAAACAAAGCGAGACCTCTAAAATAAGTCAAAAAGCTAGCCAAGCATGGTGACACATGCCTGTAGTCCCAGCTACTAAGGACAATGAGGCAGAAGGATTGCCTGAGCCCAGGAGATTGAGGCTGTGATTGTGCCAAACACTCCAGCCTAGGCAACAGAGGGAGACCCTGGCTCAAAAAAAAAAAAAAAAAAAAAATTCAAACCCAAGTCTTAACTCCAGCATCTGACTTTGTCATTACCATTATTATCCCAAAGGACCACAGGACTTTGTCTGAATTCTGAAGTCCCAAAAACTCTAAAAATGGAATTTATTTTTCATATGTTTGATGCCAGACCTCATTTCGTGGTGAAATCTGACCTGAACTGACTTAGTTTGATAGTCTTTATCCTACTTAGTGTAAATGCTCATATATTTTCCTGCAGCTATATTGTGTCTTTGTAATGCTCCACATTGCACAACGTATGGCATATAATTCTTTTTACCTTACTAAAATCAGAAAACCTTTACATTCTGAAATCATCCAGGTCCATGAGTTTCAGAGGAGAGACGCTTACCTTACACCGGCCACCTCGCACCTGCCAGCCAGCTCTCTCTGCTCACAGTCCTCCCTCTTCAGCCTACCTCATGTTCCCATCCTGCTGCTCCTAACAGGCTGTACATTTTCAGATAATTTTGAAAGATCATGAATTCATACTGATACTCCCAATTCCAGTTTAACACCACAAGATTCAGCTTCTTCTCAATTCCAGAACTTTCTTCTCCCTGTTAAAGAACAAGACTATAGCTGGGCTCGGTGGCTCAGCCTGTAATCCCGCGCCTTTGGGAAGCTGAGGTGAGTGGATTGCCTGAGCCCGCGGGTTCGAGACCCGCCTGGGCAGAGAGACCTCACCTCTACAATAAATCAAAAATCAGCTGGGTATGGTAGCGCATGTCTGTAATTCCGGCTACCTGGAAGGCTGAGGCGGAAGGATCACCAGAGCCCAGCAGATCGAGGCTGCGGTGGCCAGGAGCAGCCATTGCACTCCAGTCTGGGGGACAGAGTGAGACTCCAACTCAAAAAAAAAAGAACAAAACTATGCTGCTTGTTAAAGATGGTAAGGAAGACTGTTCAAGAGGGAGCACTGGAATGGGGCTTTTGAGTAGAGGCAAGAGATCAGGCTGAACTCTGAATGCATTGAGGATGAGTGGAGATTTATAGGCAAGGAGCAGGATGTGGGTCCACGGGAGGAAAATTCTTAAGAGAAACATCAAGGCTTTGAGGATTCTTGCTAGACCAACTCAATTAGATTCTTGCTGAAGGCAGGCCAGAATGATAACATACAGCAGGTAGGGGATGAGGAATTTGATCAGACAGCAAGGGTGATGAGATGCCAATGGTAGAAGATTTCCATTAAAATGACTCAGCAGGATTCTTGCTAAAACTGAACTAAGCAAGTCAAGATAGAACCCAAGACAGAGCCTTTTTGACTAGTCAGAAAAAGGACTCAGAGGAGCCTGACTCAGGTTTGGTCAAAGGAGAGAGCCTTTGTCATCCCACAGTGAGAACATCAGCATTTCTTTTGTGTTTTAAAAATAGTTGACTTTCTGTTTAACCAGGATGCAAAGTATTTCTCCTGGTATGTGGAAAATGTGGATTTTTATTTTAACTTAGATAATAGGTCCTTAATTTTATAATGAGATTCACTATGACAACTATCAGTATTTTTCGTGCATTTAAAGTTATATTTATACAGAACTTTTTAGGAAGAATATACAGATGTTCCTTGATGGGGTTACATCCTGATGGACCCATCATCAGTCAGAAATAATATAACTCATGAATACATGTAATGCAAGTCAAAAAACTGAAAGTCGAACCATTGTAAGTTAGGGACTGTCTGTATATTATTTGAAGCAAATTTTTTTTTGTTTTTTTCCTCTGAGGATTTCCCAAGTTCTCTGTTTTGAGCCTTCTGGAAGCAAATGTTTTAAATGTTAATTGTCTAAGGCCGAAAGAATGTGTATGGGGTATGCTAAAAGGTCATTGCTGGGGCATTGTACCCTTCCCCCCTTACTTGAGTGGGTATTTGGGGATTAAGGTGCTCATCATAGTGAAACTGCTAAAGGAAAAAGTGAAAGAAGCATCAGTTAGTTAAAGATTTACCAAAGGCCTTTGATATACTCACTTAAAATGAGGGATAGGTTATTTAAGACTTCAATCTTTTACTCTTTTTTGAAAATGGAAAAGGGGTCGGGGTGAGTGGGGAAGAAAGGTTCTGTGATGACTTTCAAGAGTGGGCTCATTTATTTTCAGGTCTTACTTGGTAGGGAGAGGAGAGGAATAAACCAGAATGTGACTGGAAGTGTTAGAAAATTGGACTTACTTCTGAGTCTAATTTGCTGCCTTTATCACATATGGAACAATAATGAGAGTTTGGAAAAGAAAGTTGTTAGATGAGCTCTGCTTCCTTTCTCTGGGTCTTGCCCTGATGTTGTTCGTTGCAGAACAGCCTCCATATTGCAGAACAGCCCTCAGGGAATATGGAGCATCAGGGAGGCCTAGCCAGTGTGAGGGAGATGGGGGTAGACCCATAAGTACCACAGAGAGCAGAGGAGGGACCAGTGTTCATTGAATACCTGCTCTTTATCAGGTTCCATGCATGTTATCATATTTAGTCTTTATATAAAATCTTATGCCCATATTACAGATTAAGGCAACTGAAACTCAGAGAAGTGTAGAAGTTTACCAAAGTTTTTACTTCCTCTAAATGGAGGAGTTGGGCCTGGAGGATATTCCTGTCTCCTAAGCTCATCCACTTTCTATCAGGCCCTTCTGGAGTTTACAGCAGGGCTGGGGGTTGCAGGCAAGACATGTGCTAGAACTATTCTGGCCACATGACAGCAGAGGAAGCAGCTCTATTTTCCTCTTTTTAGGGAGCCAGGTGTATTTTCTCTCATTGTACCTTATTTACATAAATTTTATGCACAACCAGCTCACAGCAAAGTTCAGAGTTGATAAGTAAACAGTGTAGCTCCAGAAGACTCTGACCTCCTTCTTTATGGTCATCCAGTGTCTTCTTGTCCCTGATATGGCACAGTAGGGTCACTCCACCTCCCAGCGCACCTGTGAGCCCGCTTCCTTGGCACATGCCAACCTTGCGTCTTGCTCTGAGCCCCTCCTTTGGAATCACAGAGTCTCCGGAGTCTGTGGCTACTTCCCAGAGGGGCAGAGCTACAGGCCCTAAAGAAACACATTGGAAGAAAATCTTAGGAAACAGCTGGCACACAGTAGGTGAATATTTGTGGAGTGAATGGATCTTCTGCCTCCTGGAAGCCCCTATGAACAGAAGTGGATTTACATGTTGTACTACTTTTGTACTTGGCAGTTTTCCCACAGTGTTTATTTGAAAACAAATTCAGATTATATCCCAGGTCACTTTTATTCTGCCGCTGGCAACGCTAAGAATGTTTTTGTGTTAAGAAAAAGAAAACTGCTTTCAAGGTTGCCTCTTGGAGTAAATGTTCATTTTCTCTTCTAATTAAATTATTTTCTTACACTTGCTATTTCAGAGGATCGACTAGAGACTTCAGGATCACTTAATTTTCTCTTCCCAACCAGCAGTAACTGTGCTACCATGGGAGCACTTTATTTCTCCATCTGGCAGACTGCAAAATCATTGACCATTTTTTTTCATGTCTTTATAGGTAGAGATAATGCATGTGAGAAAACTTCATACATGTTTCTACGAAAGGAACTTCCTGTGCGACTGGCTAACACAATGAGAGAAGTTAATCTTCTGCCGGATAATTTACTTAACCGCCCTTCAGTGGGATTGGTTCAGAGTTGGTAAGTAAACAGTGTAGCTTAAAATGGATCTTCCCACAGTGCTCTGAACATTTGGATTTGGGACTGTTCTCTGTGAAAGTGCACATACTGCCTGTCTGGGAATGAGTCATTCAGGATAGCTGAGTTTTCCATGCAATTAAAAGTTGTTTGTCGAGCTGTTCAATTTAAAATTGTTTTAGTTAAAATACTTTTAAATTATACTAGACATTTTCTTGACTTTTTTATGTGAGTGGGCCTGCAGTCCTTGAGATAGGATGTCTGCTGCTTTTTTATTTTCTTTTTTGTTTTTCTTTCTTTTCCTGGTCATATCACATAGCACTCATACATTTTCCACTTTTAACAAGTCTCAACCTTGCTCTTTTTATTTTCCTTTTTCTTTTTTTTTTTTGAGTTGGAGTCTCACTCTGTCGCCCAGGCTGGAGGGCAGTGGCACGCTCCCGGTCACCGCAGCCT